CTTAAACAGGCGTTTCGCACCAGGGCTGCCGAATCGGGTATGAATCTTAAACGTAAGGCGGAGGCGAAAATTGACGAGCTCATGAAAGGATCGGGCTATAAAGCTGTAAAACGATCACGCGGCGCCCACTCTATCACCGGCGTCGCTGGAAGGAGTATCGCCTCAAGAGCCGCTAACAAGCGTAAGAGACGTACGGGAAAGAAGCCTGCTTCGCGTCGAAAAAAAAGTAGTAAAAAAATTAAGTCAAAAACCAAGAAACCCAAAAATCGTCGTAGGGTCGCTAGTAAGAGAGTAAAGCGGAGTCTGCTGGATATCTTCTCCTAAACGATACATCTACCATGGCCTTTCTACACGCTCACTCGTGCGAGTGTATGAAATCGGAGCTCGAGCTCTTTACGCTACCACCGACACAGACCACTATAGAGAGTGCCCAGTGGGTACACTACAAGCCCATCTCATCGCTGACCAATGACTCGCCCATTGAATTTGTCGTGCCGGGTAATGGCGACGAGTACCTTGATCTAGCGCACACTATGCTGAGTTTCCGCGTACAGCTGCGCTCCAAGGACGCGTCAGCAGCGGACGCTCTGAGCAAAGCAGCCCCTGTTAACAATCTGCTACACTCGCTGTTCAATCAGGTGGACGTATTTCTTAATCAGAAACTCGTATCGCCACCTAATAACGCGTACGCTTACAGGGCCTATATAGAGACGCTATTAAATTATGTACCAGCCGCTAACTCCGATTACGTCTCGTACGCACGAGAGACGGCTTCTCCCTCATGGACCCCGCCAGCGAGCGTTCTTTACATATAACGGAGGCCACGCTCCTCGTTAGACGCGCCAAAATAAGCCCCGGTATTCTAATTGCTCATTCTAAAATGCTGTCTAAGACAACGGCCAAGTATCCGCTTACGCGCGTGGAGGTCAAGGCGCTGACAATGCACGCCGGTTTGGACGGTGGCACTATGGATAACGTGATTCTCGGCCAATTACCTAAGCGGATTATAATAGGTTTCGTCGATAACAAAGCCTTCAATGGCAACTATCAACTCAACCCGTTCAATTTTAAAAACTATCGCATTAATTTCTTATCGCTGTACGTCGACGGTGTTCAAGTACCCTCGAAGGCTCGGCAGACCGAATTCGGCAAATCAAGGCGCTGACAATGCACGCCGGTTTGGACGGTGGCACTATGGATAACGTGATTCTCGGCCAATTACCTAAGCGGATTATAATAGGTTTCGTCGATAACAAAGCCTTCAATGGCAACTATCAACTCAACCCGTTCAATTTTAAAAACTATCGCATTAATTTCTTATCGCTGTACGTCGACGGTGTTCAAGTACCCTCGAAAACACGGCAGACCGATTTCGGCAAATCCGGTCTTTACGTGGACGCGTATCACACGCAGCTACTACTTTGACAGCTACGGATTACCATCGCTGAATCATCACCACGCATCGAGACTCCAACGGAACCGTCGATCCTTCCGATGGAACGCTCAGCAGCTTCAGAGCGAGACGTCAACGGTGTGCGGCCAATTCTGCATGATGTTTTTACACTACCTCTCCTCAGGCTTCGGGATGCATTCATCACCACGCATCGAGACTCCAACGGAACCGTCGATCCTTCCGATGGAACGCTCAGCAGCTTCAGAGCGAGACGTCAACGGTGTGCGGCCAATTCTGCATGATGTTTTTACACTACCTCTCCTCAGGCATCGGGATGCATGCCTTCCAGAATGTGTTTAGTAGTGATTTGAGGAAAAACGATAGAATCGCCCGAGAGTACTACGACGCTTTTTTGCGAAAGAAGCGTTTGGCGAATCGTCGGTATGCGCAGGATAATAAGATGTACGGTGGCGGCAGTAGGGTGCAATATTCGCGGTGTAAATCAGGCTACATGTGTTAAGACTTGTTTCATGAAAGCCGAGTGGGTTGTACATTTAATTACATAAATTGAGGCTATAGTAGGTGTATAAGTAGCAAATAAGTTTAATAATTTATTTATTTATTTTCCGTTTAACGGGCATGCCCATGATACAGAAACATAACAAAAAAAATTACAAATTATATTCTAATAATAAAAAAATGCAAATACAATAAAAAATCAAGTTACAGCATAGTAAATCGGAAATATGTATTACTAATTATTTAGGTATTACTCAAAAACATGAATAATCCGCCGTGAATCGAGTTTAACTCTAGACAGACTACTGTTGTAAATATCTAACCAATTGGAGTGAGAATTAAGCAATCTCGATATACGCTCAATAGGTGATCTCTTAATGAAATCACTTTTCGAAACATTAATGAAAAAATACCTATCATTATTTCTTAATCTACGACTAGGAATATAGATATTAAATTTGCTTAGTAATGCACTACAATCTATTTTGTTACTTAATAATTTATATGCAAATATAATATCGATCCTAACACGATCAGATTCAAGACTAGGTATTGCCAACGCGGAGGCAATAGCACTGTAATCATGCTCAACAATACTCATAGGCATGTTTAACTTATACGCAACATACCTCAAGTAAATATGATTCACTCTCTCAAGTTTATCAATTTGATACTTAAGGTACGGATTCCAAACTACAGAGCAGTAAGTTAAGGTTGAGTGAACAAGCGTATAGTACAATGTTTTAAAAGACGTCTTATCAACAAAATCTTTAGTAAAACGTTTAATAAAGTTTATTCTCTTTTTAACAGTTTCGCAAATAAAGTCAATGTGCATCTCGAAACTCAACTTTTCATCGAACATAACACCCAAATCCCTAATGAACCTCACACATTGCAGTGCTATTCCATTAATGTTATATTGAAAAATGTTAGCAGTAGGTGCCCTACAGAATGTAATAAAGAAGCACTTATCAATATTAAATAACAATCCATTCTTTACACACTAATAATATAACGCGACTATGTCAATCTGCAATAATTCTCTATCTCTTAAATTTCTAATGACTCTATAAACTTTCAAATCATCTGCAAAAAGTAATACTTTTGAGTGCTTCACTGACATAACGATGTCATTTATAAATAGTATAAACAACAACGGACCTAAATAGCGTGCCTTGTCCAACACCCGATGTCACAAATATCGGGTCAGATATATAATTCTTAACTTTTACTCTTTGAATTCTATCAGACAAAAACGATCGCAACCAATTCAATAAGACACCACTGATACCATATGCAGCCAATTTCCTAACCAACAAAGAGATATTTACCATGTCAAAAGCCCTCACAAAATCAGTGTAAACTGCGTCAATTATGTGACCGTTCATAATATTCTCAACCAAATAATCTAGGTAAACACTCAAATTAGTAGTAGCAGATCTGCCACTAATAAAACCATGCTGATCTGGCATAATGTATATTACCAGATATGATTGCAGTCGATGATGTACCAATTTATCAAAAATCTTGGCAATAACGCTTGGTTTAGCAATAGGTCTATAATTATTTACATCTGCTCTATTACCACCTTTATGCAATGGGGTAATGAATGATGTTTTCCATTGTCTAGGAAAGCACCCACTTGCTAATGACCTATTGAAAAGAGCCGTAAGTAGCCTAGTGAAAAAAACAGGACAGCTTGTCAATAAAAGTGGATGAATTAAATCAGGTCCAGGACCTGACTTGACATCCACACTATTTATTGCTTCGAGTACTTCAGTCTCATTAAATATAATCTCATAGAAACTATCAGAAAATTCATAATTTATGTCCGTTGATGACAGGTCAAGATCTGTATATACACTACCAAATTTCTTTGCAAACAAATTGACTACATCTTGACCCGTATCAGCTTTCACATCATGGTAAAAAACAGTAGAGGGAAACTCGCAATTCTTCCTAATTGAATTTACATAACTAAAAAAGTAACTACTATCATCTATCACAGCATTTTCAACCTTACTCATATACTTCTTATAATCTATTCTGTTTAAATTCTTACATTTAGTACGCTCAATACAGAATAATTTATAGTAATATTCAGATTTATATTCCTTATATAACTTATGCAGTTCTTTTTTACATTTAATTGACCTAATTAACTCAGATGAAAACCATTTGGGATAATTACTAGATTTAATTATGAACTTTGGTATGAACTTGTCCACCAGTAAGCTAATAGAAACATTCAATTTGTCAACTACTTCCTCAACATCTAGACAATTATCGATTTCATCAATGAGGCTACAGTCATTTAGGCATTTATTAATTTCAATGAAATTCGCTCTCTTAAAATCACAGATATAATCAGTAAAACGTAACTTACTAATACATGCCATCTTTACCGTAAATACTACACACTTGTGAGCCACATCGCAATCAAAAATTGTATCAAAACATTCATCCACATCTACATTCTCAATATTCGTGAAGGCTAAATCCAAAGTATTACCATATATATTAATATAATCATTAACTTGAGCAAGTTTATGAAAATTACAAAATCTATTCAAAATTACAGCGGCTTCACGAATATTGACATTTAGGTGAGAACCAGTAGCTTGTGACACATTCTGTACAGAACTCCATTTGAAACCTGGTAGATTAAAATCACCCAAGAGAAAAAATTACAAAATCTACTCAAAATTACAGCGGCTTCACGAATATTGACATTTAGGTGAGAACCAGTAGCTTGTGACACATTCTGTACAGAACTCCATTTGAAACCTGGTAGATTAAAATCACCCAAGAGAACAATATCAATCAAGGACAATAGATCTATGTAGTTACTCAAAGTACAATTAATATTATCTAGAAAATCAGTAACATAGTCAGAAGTATAACCCGGTGGAATATATGCTGCTGCAATAACCAAACTTTTACTGTTAAATGATATGTGTACAAATGTTGCTTCAAAACTACTATCAAACATAGGTATACTAATAGATTTGTAAAATTTCTTAAATGCAACTAATACTCCACCACCATACTTCTTAACACTGGTAAAAATAGACCTATCGCACCTAAAAACATTGAAATTAACAAGTCCAAGTTCGACAGTATCAATCTCCTCATCGAGCCAAGTTTCTATAAAAACAATAATGTCATAATCGTTGAGTACACTGCACCTCCTTCGAAATTCTTCAACTCTCCCTTGTATGCTGTGGATATTCTGATAGTAGATGTTCAAGTCATTGACATGCCCAATTTGTTACTCATCGTCCACCTCACTCAAACTATCTCTCTGCAGTATTAAATCATTTGTATCCTCCTTCTTCTTTCTTGAATCATCATCTGTTTTGGCTCTGATGGCAACAATAGTGGGTATATGGTTGATAAACTTGATAGATAAGTTTTCTTCAGACTCAGATCTAATCTTCAACTCATCCTTGACTTTTTGTAACTCATCTAACTGAGCCTTAGTCATATCACTCTTAATAACAAGTTTCCTATCACCAATTCTTGCCTTATTCCTATAAACCCAGTGAACATGATCAGCATAGCCTAACATCACTTTCAGCGGTCTAACTTTACCATCAACGAACTTCATACCTAACCTTACCACTTTTATATCACTAAGTGAGAAAGGTAGTTCATCATCAAACTGATTGAACAGATTCTGTACTACGCTTAGATCTTCTTTCACCGCATTTATGGAATCAGACATATTAAATATGATAAAATTCTTCTCTCTCTTGAATCTCTCATTAACCTCATTGAATAAGGCACTACTGTCTATTTTAGACACAGACTCTTCGATGTTATCAATTCGGATCTCAATCACATCAATTTTATCATTCACCAACTCAATAGATTCAGAAAATCCATCAACTTTGCTCTCCAAAGGATTAAACTTATCTCTTATTAAGCCCCAGAGTTTTTTAATGCTAGGATCCAAACTCTCCACATCTTCTTCATCTGCTCCAATGCCAGTATCTGCAGGCGTTGCCTTAACTTTCATCGCTTGTTTTCTGGTAACAGAAGTACTGTTACCAGAAGTACTGTTACCAGAAGTACTCGCATTAAGCTTTTGCGACACTACCTTGCCAGTATTATTACCATTTCCACAGCAAGGTACATATGCACCTTGCACATTTACTGCAGCTCTATCTGCACATGACGCATGGTAATATTGCCCGCACCCTTTACACTGCTTAGCATCATCAATAACCTTTATCGAACCAGGCTTGGCTCTACACACGTAGCATTTAGGCATGCTGGCCAAGGGAAAAGAAAAACGTGCTCTAAAAATTTGGAGGTTAGAAATAAAACACTCAAAAATAGGCTATTTCAAAAATCACAACTGAGATTTATAATACTTTGACGTAACTCTGGACATGCAGCACGTAAGACACACCTCGTAAAAATTTGATTTTTTAAATAAACCAAAATAAAAGGTACTTTATTCCTTTGAGTCCACTAATGTCGTCCCACGGAATCTACACCATCTTTTCCAACTTAAGCTTGGGTAAAATTCTTAAAAAAAATTAAATTATCAAAACAAATTCTGTCAACAAGCGCAAAGGATTATTGTGAGCAGTCTCAATAATAATAATAATAAGTATAATGATAAAATTAAAATAGGAATAATATATATAGCGTAAATAATACTAAGCTAGGTTAGATATATAAGTAATGTAAGCAATTAATAATATGTGTTTAAGAAAAAAATATATATATACAATACAAGTCTATACTACTATTATTTAGGTAATGAGGGTGACCTGCCCGTACCCAAATCACACCAGTGTGTCTCTATTGGCTTCATAAAAGAGGACACTTGTACAGCTACTGTTTCTTACAATATACGACATATATTTAAAAATACCTATTTTTTCTGTTTTTGTTTCCTTCACCTCCATCTCCCCATATCTTGTTAATAATGGTAACGGGCGGTAGGAAATAAAACATTAAGCGTATTCCTCTATACAGAGCTCAGGCTAATCATCGAAAATGTATCACACCAGACAGCTTTATAATATATGTAGCGTTTCTTACAAAAAAAACACTGTGTTCTACTTCACCATGGGACACTTACCTCCTTAGGATAATTAAAAATTACCGACCGGCGGTCACTGCATAATTACCGACCGTGATACGCCCCCTGGGGACGATGCAACGCTGCTGCGCGGGGTTTCGGGCCTTAGGACCGCGTGGTGGGGGGGTCCACAACTGTGTCGCAGGGGGAGGGGAGAGCTGGTCACATAGATGAGGGGGTGGCGCCATAGTGCAGCGCAGGGGGCACAGCGCGATGCGCTCTATGACTCATAGGGACAGTGGTGGGGGTTTGTTATGACTCCCATAAGTGGTGTGTATCTACTGACGCATATAATAATCCTTCAGCCTTTTCGAAAAGCTGATTCTCTTCCATTTGTTGTTGTTTTCTGACTATACGAGCTGCTTTAGTTTCAGAAAGACTCATTTTGTTCTGCCTCGCTACTCGCGCCTCATCGATGTTTTCGGCGAAAACATTCAAATAGGTTCCAATAATTATATTTAAATTGTTCATAATTCTAAGAATGGAGGTGTATCCGTTATTAAATATCCCAGCAGCAATATAGGCTGAGATTTCAATGATTTTTAGACCAGAATGTAAGTGCTTTGGGGATAATCGCCAAAGTGTCGCGTTGAAACTTTCATTGGCATCCTGAGTATGGCCACCCAAGCATCTTTCTAGTAAATCATCCCTAGACAAATCTCCATAAATTGGTAGGAGATGCTGTTTAATCTCGTCGCCAAGTAATGGAGTAAGATCTTCAAAGAATTATGCAAAAATATTGTGAAAGAAACGTTGCTCCACCCCACATCTGGTTCACATTTATATGTATACATTTTTCCCGACAATAAAACGCAGAATATATTTTGTGGATTACTTAGTTGCGCTTTGGTTCGCACGAAATCGATTTGGCATCTATCGGTTTAGAGGCTTGTATAACTGTCGTCCTTGGGATTTTTATTTGGTATGTATTAGATTCATTGTATGTACTTTTTTTTTAGATCCCATGCTTGTAACCAGTGCTCAAATGATTCCAGAATTTCTCTTTTTTGGGCTCAGAAAGCACTGTAGAGACTTTTCCATAAATTCATGTAATCCTCTTCGCTCATCTTTTCCTTTAGTTGTCACTTATATTTTGCTCCTGTGAACTATTCGCACTTGAGATAAGGATTAGATGTAAGAAACAAGTTTTATGGATAGAGGCAGGAGTTGGATATTGTCTATTTTTAGAATTTTTATGATCCAATGTATCACCAATTTGATGTTTATTTACACCTATATGTGTTATCCTTAGTCAAATAGAATAACACAGCCAGGCGTGTCCTTGAAAAGCTGTAGGAATCGTTTGAAGTATTATAATAGTCTTTTTTCCAATGGACTTGTGTATATAAGTCCTCATAATGCTGTAGTGTGTCATAGCGTAGAGTACGCAATACTTTTTTACAATTCTAAAAACGCCTTCCATAAATTAGTTTTGCCGGCTGCGAATGTAGATAGAACCGAGGACGTGGCAACTTTAGTTCAATTTACTGTTTTCCCAAGTCGCTTCCGTAAATTTATTTTCCATTTTCACGTTATTATTATTTTCTACTCTTATGTCATTTATCTGCTCGTATACTTATTTCAAGTTGTCTGATTATTAGAATTAATGGAGAATTTTTAAAAAAAGTATCACATTAGCAAAAGGCTAATTGGATGCTTAAGAAAACCAACTGGTGAAATTAGATATAATAATAATATATGTACACATTTCTAGGAGTGCCAGTTTAAAAGGTCCGTGTATGTGAAAGAAATTTTCACGAGGGCCCGGCCACAAATAGATGCACCCCTACGTCCTTGTTTATTCCTATGAATTTATACGGCTAGAGCGAGAGATTTCCCTTGGATGGACGGTCCATAATAGGAGTATTTATTTTAATGCTATCTCACTTCTTTTTATATTTTACAACCTGACCATCCTAAAATCAGCTATCTTTACATTCAATTATTTCACATTTGGCACGATTAGTTGTATTACATTTTTTTATAATATCTATTATTTTTTTTATTTTATATTTTGTTAATTTCATTTACGTGGTACAGTCGAGTCCATCTAAAGTCGGTACTTGTTAAGTTAAATTTTCTCCTCAACTCTTCAACAGGAGCGCAGAATGGTTCCTCCAATTTTTTAGTGCGATATGCGGATAGAATTCGCGTCACCGTGTTCGTTGACAGTAATTGACAAGGGTTGGTTAACATATACATATTGTTGTCTCGCTCTTAACCATACCTCTGAAGGCTAGGTGCGAAAGTTCTCTATGTGCTGGATTCTGAAAACTCACTCTAGAAGTTAGAGCGACTTTGGACTGTTTAGAGGTATGGTGAAATAGACCAATTACCTTAATCCATGAACGCCTAGATATATTCTGCTAGAGGTACTGTAAAGCTCAATTTGGTATCTAGGGTTTTTCGGGTGCCTCACTACTAATTTAAAGTAAAAAGTTAGAAATTCGATATGGCAGATCCACAATGGCGGTTCGAAAAATGAAGACTTTATCCAATTTACATGAAAATAAGCACTCAGGGGTTTTCGGGTTCTTTGATTACGAATGATGTCAACATTTCAACATTCGAAATGAATAGAGTAAAAATGTCTTTTGATGTTGGGATGTTGATTTTTCAGTTTTAGTTCATCATATTGAGTTTGACAATTTGGTAGACTTACTTGGCAGCTGAACTTGAAAAAAAAATTATGTTACAGTGTCGACAAATGTGTGTAATCAAGAAGGTTACATTAAAACAAGGTGTTTACGATATTTTTATCTTGATTGAGACCCTCTTCAGGTAACAAATATATTTACCTAAACAAGAACGAGTAAATGATGAACATAAAATTATGAAAAATCTGTTAATTGTATATACTAAAATTTTTTTCTTTTTTACTTACGAGTGAGCATCCAAAACAGTAGAATATTAAAAAAAATAGTCGGAAATGTCCCATAATTCGTTAAACCAAAATACTCAATTTGATAAAAAGTTTCATCATTCTTCAACAACAGGAAAGGTCAAAAAGCATAAAAACCTATGTTGGACGGCGAAGTAGAGGCATTGTGAACTTTCACATATGTGTATGTCTGTTACTTATCTTTTTTAATTTTCCTTTCAAATTTCTTAAGGGGAGGTTCTAATCTAGATTGTTAGAAAATGAGTAAATTTACGATTTTTTTATAGGAAACTATTACAGAGAATCGAATGGAGTTTTCAGTATTTCAAAATACCTTTTTAACCAAAAATTCTTAAAAAGTTATTAAAGATTTTTAAAATTAAAAAAATTCTAGACCAGAATCTCACTTTAGCGTTAGTAGTTCTCTGTCCAGTACGGGTTTTTAACCATTATGCTTCTTGTATGGATGAAGAATGATAGAATTTATCAACTCTTTATCCGATTATCTTCCTTTTAAATCAACGCGTTACAGAGCGTAATGTGGTTTTTACTGATTGTTGATACCTTCAAGTAAATCTAAGAAGAATTATAATTTATACAAAGAACATTTATATTTAAAAAATTTTTTATTTCATTCAGTTGTTATCATTTAGGTAAATATATTTGATATATAAAGAGGTTAATTTAATTTCTTTAGCTGTACATATTGGTTGATACTGCAACACAAATTCTTATTTACACATATTCAGTCGATATTCCTTAACTCTTTGTGACCCACTGGAAACTTTAGTTCCCAAAAACGCGATTAAAATCTATAACTTTGCTAAAAATTAAGATATCTTCAATTAATTTTCAACATAAATAACACACATTCTTCTGCTATTTGTAAACAATTTGAATCTCCATAAATGTTGTTGCATTTATTAACTATAAGTTCGTAACGCACTATATGTTCGAAGTCTTTTTTATATTTATGTCAAGAATAATTGAAAGACATATATTTAATACGTACTGAAATAGTCATTATAAGAACTTGCGAAAAAAATTGGTCATTGATATAAGGGGTGTTTTTTAACAAATTTTAAAAAACTTAAAATTGAAGATGAAAGAATAACATGATGTGATATCCTTTTGTATGATCTTAAACATTTATTTATATTATATATAATATATATATTGATTTATGTTTTCAAGAAAGATGTCACAGATTTCACATTGAAGATTTTGCGCACCATTAGATTACAATTTTTTGATGTAGAACATGCAATATTGTATTTTATAAGCATTTTCAACATTTATTCCTGTTATACGTGCATACGCGTATATTTCATCTAGTTCCATTACGTTTAGTAAATTATTTTTTTGTTTTGACATTTTAAAACAAGAGTAGAGCGCGGTATAAAGGTCTTTATGATACCCACTGCATAAGATATGTTTGGCATATTTTTGCACATTACGTGATGAAGTTCCATTTTTATCAAAATTTGTTCTTACACTTCACATAGTAAATGTTAAAAAACTTATTTTTAGATTTTAATACTAATTTTATAATTGTATGTTATTTACATATGTCCACTGCAAATCATTGAAGTTTCATCAAAATCGAAATAGAGAGGAATGTGAATGTCATATATTCTTTTATCAGTAAGTCACTTCTTTTACTGAATACTTTTTAATACCTTACTTCTAAACAATAATAAATTCCCATCATGTTCTTAATCTAAATACAAAAATTTTATTTAACTTATACATTTGATTTCATATGTGCTTTTAAGATGTATTAATAAAATTAGCTATCTTCAGCGTATAAAGTATTTAAAAAATCATTTAAAAAATATGACTAACTATTGATTTAACCTATTTCGTATTTCACTGAAATTCGTGGCGTATTTTTTTAAAAACTTTGATTAAATGCTGAATTTATGGAGGTGCTGAGAATAATTATAATTTTGTATAGTTCGCTGTAATGAGCTTTTAATCCTGTTTTAATCTTTAACTATTGTTTCTTATATTTTTATTTTTTATTTTTTATTTCATGCTATTTCAGTGTTCAACTGAGGTATTTCAAAAATGTTCACAATTTCTTTCGTTTGCATATTTTGAATGAGATTTTTGTTTTGTTACGTTAGATGAAGCTGTATAACAGAAATTTCGAAGGAGGCGAACGCATAGAATATATGGGGTGGGTAAACGAAGCAGTAAGCAATAGCAACCAACCATGGCAGAGCTACAGACCCAGGTTCCTGGCTCTCAAAGGCCCTGATCTGTTGTTATTTGAAACTCCACCGGTAAGCGTCAAACTGCTCAAAATCTATAATCCTACCGCATACTTCACAAATAATTCATGAATTATTTTTTTTATCGTATGTCACAGTGTAATATCGGCGACTGGTCTCGATGCGCATTAACGTTCAAAGTTTATCAGACGATGTTTCGCGTAATGAAGGAATCTGAGAACGTGGATGAGAGACAGCACTGTTTTTTGGCTCAGAGTCCAGGCAAACCACCACGATATCTGAGCGTTGAAACAAGGCAGGAACTTCTGAGGGTGGAAGCTGCTTGGCACACTGCTGTTTGTTCAGCAGTCACACATCTTAAAGTACGTTTCTAGATCGATTGGTATTGTGATGTAAGGTTTTCCTCATCTGATAAGAAGGTATTAATAGTCTTTAGATTTAAGTGAAATGTACTTCGTAATGATTTAAGAAATGTACTTCGTAGCGCAAGGATGATAGTAACCGTACTAGAGAAAATGAAAGAGATATATGAAGAACATGCGTAGGATTTGGAACTTATGGCTATATGGTTTTTATGTTGTATAACAATTCCCAGACTGCATCATAATTACTTTGTTCAAACAAGTGTTTATGTCTAAGTTTAGTTTGATTTTTAACAATAAACACTCAAGTTACTGGATCATGGAACTAATGTAAGTGCAATTGGTTGATATATGATTTCTAAACATACACTCAACCATACCGCTCAAAAGTGTGAGTTCATATCTATACTATGATGTTTCCATTATTAAGTGTATTCAATTTCTCGAGTAGTAATGTAAGTAAAGCAAGAATTATACGAAAGTGTATGCAATACTAGAGTTGCCGTGTATCATGTTTCAGAGTAAAACGTTTCCAGTGACGTATAATGGTAGAATTGCCAGATTAACATTGGAATGGACTCAAGGATTTACCCTATCTTTGGACGGCGTAGGAGAAATCATTTGGAGATATAAGTTTTCTCAATTGCGAGGTTCTAGCGACGACGGAAAAAGCAAATTAAAACTGCACTTCCAAGAACCCGACAGCATTGCCATTGAAACAAAGGTCAGGACTTTTCATCTGTTTTGCTCTCCTAGAAATGCGATTAGTATGCATGTTTCATACTCTATATTTCTTTATTCTAATTAACATTTTATGTGTTCTACAGGAATTGGAATGTTCGCAGTTACAAAATTTGTTATTCTGTATGCACGCCTTTTTGACGGCGAAAGTGGCAGCAGTTGATCCTACTTTTTTAACTTCTACAACTCCTTGAATGTTTGGATGATATTCATTTTGGAATATTCTTTAAGACTTCTCATCGAATGGATACCAACGTTTCCTTTTTCGTGCTTAAGACGTTAAGCGCCAGGCCGATTTTGGTCAACTATTCGTTCAGCGGCGTGTTAGCATACAAAATATAAACAAGAGATAAGGAGATGCAGGGTAAAAGAATGCTTAAATTTGATTCGTGGGTCCTCAAAGACCAGCACCGCCTAAATGAAAAGTCTAGCGTCGCCCCGCACAGGCCGGCTTGGCCTAAACGAAAAGTACAGTGTCGGTCCGCAGGGACCGGCGTGCCGCTTAACGTATTAATCAGTGAGTATTAGAGTGTGAATTCTGTTTTCAACGTGAAATCTAGCATGACGATAGTGACAATGACGAAAACGAATACGATAAGTACCTATAGCTAGTCAGTTCTCCAAAAATTATTTGATGGTTTTTGTTAAATTCGTTATATTCATAGATTTAATCTTGTATTCCTTTTTTATAACCGCTAAGATAAAAGTAAGGTAAAGCGTCCAGTTAGTGATACTGTTCCAGATTGTGATCCCGATAGCATAATTTTGACTCCCATAAATAGAGTTTTTGTCGAATAGTAATTCAATTACCGGCTAATTAAAAAGTGTTTTTCACTTTATATTATTGGAGAGACACACTTTTTTAAATGAAATATTTTAGAATAGAAATTGACCAGTGAATAGTGCGACACGCGTCTCAGTGGCCCCGCAGTGGCAGTGCTAGACGGTGGCAGTAGTTGCGACGAGCGACGTCGTTGTGAATTTTGTTCGTCATGTAAGTATAAAACGACATAATAATGGTGTCAATATCTTCAGCAGGAACCAGACTATCGATGAGATAGGAAATTATTTAACTTTTGGTTAGATATTTATTCAAATTCGCGGGATCGATAAGTGCGTCACATAATTCAGGTTGTGTTGCTGTGTTGTTGACATTCGTTTGTATGGGGAAATTCGGAAGCGTCAGAAAGTGGGTACTCGCAGGTGTCATAAATTGCTCAAATGGGGTCACAAATCGGGTACACGCAGGGATCACAAACTACGACATGGGTGTTTATCGAATGTTAGAAACTCCGGTAGCAGAGAAGCGCTATTAAAACAATCATTTTAATAATAAACAATTGTTTCACTTGTGTAATAGGTGAATCTCATTCGGAAAGCTTTAACGCACGTGTTCAAACCTTTAGTTTTCAGTTTGGCTATATCACGCAGGAGTAAATAGCAAAAATCCAACACGATCGCTTTTAAAGTATCACTAACTGGGCCGTTTACTGTATTAAGGTGTTTATTTAGAACCTCTCTTTAACACGTTTGGTGCGGCCTGTACCACTGATGGTACATGCCATACTTAAAAATGACCGGGTCTAACAACGCGCTGCAACGAATTTGTTAAGGGGAAGCCATACTGTTCTTCTACGTGTAGATAATTCATATAAAGAATGGTTTTAAGTAAGGAAACTTCGCGTTCCAAAATCGACTCACAAAAAGCACTGTGACTAGATGTAGAAACACAATCAGGCGTTCGATGAAATCTCTGTCTGTGAAGCAATTTTTCAATTATTCTCTAAAAAAATTAATAAAACAGAAATAAAAAATAAAAACTATTGATACTGTCAGGTTGGTGAAAGTGTCGTAGCCGCCGTCCAGGCCTTTGTCAATCATTATGTATTGCTTGTCACACTGCGTCACGAAACTATAGAAGGTTATCGAAAGAAGGCTTCACAGGGTCTGAAAAATATATACGGCGTCTCACTTAACTTAACCAATTAAAATATCATGGTTGCCTTTGATGATACGGGAAAAATGTTTAGAGAAAAGTTATTCGGTACAAAGGGACAAATATTCTGACTAGCATACATTTTTTCTAGTTAATTTTTGTTCGAGATTTCAAAGTCATTGATATTTTTTAAATAGGTGGACATATTTTTAATACGATACTCGTGTAGTTCATATCAAAAAAATTCAACGATATGCAATGTGTTGATCTTTACGTGATCTTGAATGAGAAAATCATGTTTGTATGGAGAGAAGGTGAATGTAAAATTGATGTTTCAATGCAACATATTTCTTTCAGAAGCTGTTCAAAACATACACCATTAACCTCAGTACAATTTTGGAGACGGTAAATTAATTATTTTTCTACATTTTCAAGTAATTCTGTAGTAATGGTGTTACATGCATATTGACATTGAAATACATAATTTACCGTTCTAGAACAAGTATTGAATTTAATGGCAAACATTTTGTAATTTTCTCGTTCACGGTCCCGTGAAGGGCAACACATTGCACATAGTTGAATTCTTTTTATTATGAGCTACAAGACTGTCGTAATAAAAATATATCGACCCATTTAAAAAACATCGATGACCTTGAAATATTGAAATAATTAACTAATAAAAAATCTTTGGTAATCAGAGTATTTTCCCCTTTGTACCGAATAACTTTTCCCTAAACATTTTTCTCATATCTTCAAACGCGACCATGATATTTGAAGTGGTCAAGTTAGGTGAGACACCCTGTATATCAGTAACATACCATATCAGTGCAAATATTCAACAGAAATATTTTTGGGTGCGAGTAAATCGAGCTGTCAATCAGCAAACTTTCCTCGCCTAGAAATGAAGTCTTTTGCCGTAGGGAATGCTAGTAGTATTCTGTGATGTTACAACTAGTCCTAACGTGCGTGGGTCATGGTCAGTTATATTCATTCTTTATAAGCTGTCTATAGTAGTTGGCATTTATACATAATAGTATAATTTCTGTATTACAGATCTGGCTGTTTCATTCCCAGTAAACGTATTGTTTAACTTCTGGCGACAGTTGTCGGTATCGTTAAATAAGGATAACTGCATTTTATCCAATAGCAACATCTTCTTTCTTATAGATGTAATTGGCGAGTGGATAAAATCGTTTTCAATATGTAACGATGTCAAAACAACTGTCGCCACAAGTTAGAAGATAGGGCTATTTGATCACAACGTTGACTGTTGTAGGGCTAACGCAGATTCCATGCTCGAAGACGAATAATATAAACGAAATTTATTCACCTCCGCATAATTTGTAATCGAGCACTACAGAGGCGCGGAGTCCTGCAATAGCTCTACAGTCTACGACAGCTTGCAAGAGTATTACCAGCTATCTCGTGCATGTTTTCACGCTTTGCCATAACTGATGGCAGCACCATTATGTAGAAGTTCGCCGAGCACTGCGGTTTCCCCTTAATGATTTTTGCAATGAACTACTTAGTTTACTTCAACAACATGTATATTACGATATCTTTCAATGATGCTATAGTATTATATCATATCAACGATAGTATATCATGTTTATGACAGTCGGATAAAGTTGTCGGGCGTTAGTAACATGCGTGGATTCACACATGCGTGCTATTTTCCTTCTATATATAACAGCCCCGGCGCGCATTTATTAATATATGTTGAATTAGACCATGTATGATTATAGAACACATTATATAATACGTGCACTAGAAAGCAGCTAAAAAATTCTAAATGAAATTGTAAATAATTGTTGACATATGTGCGAAATTTATGTGCTTCAAGTTATGGTTCTTATGACGTTATGTTAACATTTTTTGTACATTTTTTTATTACGTGCCGAATGTTTGATAATAGGTGAGCTTGAACAAATTATCGGAGTGTTAGTATTATAATGCTTATTGTACAATGGATTGGGTTCTGATTTAAGATGTACGATTACTAAATGCGTTTATCTATATTACAATTCACACTACAGATGTTTCATTTTTCCCGATATTAAGAGGTAGGTTTGCTATAGTTGTTGCTGATATTGATATTTTGAGAATTAAATTTATGTCAGAACATAATGCTTGTATTTTACAGCATATTGTAGTCAAGTGGACACGGCTCGAGATTCAAATTTCATAATTTTACTCTAAGCAACGTACATTTTGGGTGTTTATCTTTTACCGACATATTTTGACACACTCTTGTTTCATATACGGCTTTGAAAGATGCTTAGAGTCTGATTTATGACATTTGAGCTTGAGGTTCCTTGTACATTTGGTGCGCAAAGTCCATAAGCCATAAATAAAACAGTGTGTTATGTGTGTCGGTAAAAAAAAAACACCGTTTGTGTTATCCCAACATTGCAGTTAATATTAACAGAACTATCAGCTAGTTTGTTATGGTCCTGTGATAATACAACAGATTTGAGGGATAGTCGTCCAGATCATTATCATCGTATATATCAGGTTATTTAGGACAAAAAACAAATGGAGTTACCCCGTCCTTTTGATTTTAATGGTAGAGAACCCCGGTGGTATATATAGATCTGGAAGCTCTGCTGGTGGAAGAAGGGTTCACTAGCGTTACCAGTTTCTGTATTTTACTCCTTTCCCGTGTGAATCGGGACGATCTAGGGGTATTTTTTTAAAGTTTTGAAAGGAGTTTATTTATTTTAAAAGCCAACCTTTATCTTGTGTTACGTGTCGTTTACGTTTGCGCTCACAGTTGTACCAGTTATACATCGTTTGTGCGTGATAAACTCTTAATGTAGTAAGAAGCTTGTAAAAAAATGGGGAAATTCTGTGCTTCGGTTTGAACGATGACGAGTATTGGTTCTAGACTGAAAAAGATATTTTAAAGGATGCCATTTTTAAAAAGTATTAATTGATCTCAAATTCATGTAAAGGAATAAGACAACTACTCTACTCGAAAAAAATGTGGAAAAAAGGTAATTTTTTGTACGATTTATGATTTCTTGTCTTCGTCTCGTAAATTGAGTGCGCGTGCATTCTCTATTGACTTATAGATCGCAATGACCCTTACGGCGTAGTAGGAACCACAAAAACGGGTAACGTTAGTGGTGCCATCCCCGCCATCAAAACTCGGCCAAGCTTCCAGACTTGTATGTACGACCGTGGGTAGAACTAACTTCAGTCAGTGCGTTGTTTTGAATATTCCTAGTATTTAATGAATTGCCTTTTTGTTTCATAGCGCAAACACTACCAGTATCCGAAACGTTGACATAACTGCATTTGAAAAATACCCCCACATGACGATTTTTGTTAAAAGTGAGACTGTTCAATGTCAGTATGTATGCTTGATTTCATTTAAGAATCCAATATACATATAAACTTTCTTTTTCGCCTATTAATTTTTCACGTGAATGACTCTGTTAGGGAGATTTTGCATCACTAGTGCAAGTGAACAAAATTTTATTTGCTGCCGCCCTTACCATACTTACTTATGGTCACATGTAACTTTAATGTGTAGCAGAAAATATTTGTGTTCATATACTGCAAGATCGTAAGAATGTTTGACTATGCCTTTGGTAATATGATGCGATGTACTAGCATATATTTTCAAACGTGCTGTTGAGGGAAACGAGTGCATTTAGTTTCTTAAATCCATGATATTTCATAGAGTGTTTCCTTACAAAAATTATTTGTAAAATTGGTATTTTGTTTTCTTTTGTCATTTATTGTAAGTATTTGGTTTAGTAATTGTTATGTTTGTTACGTGTATTGGTAAGTGCGTTCTGGTTATAGTTTTGTGTAAAATAAGAATAATTTGAATTTTTGTTTTAACGTGACACTCCAGACCCAATAACCAAATGCCACATTCTACTAATTTCTGTGAGACAGGCAAAGTAACCCGACACATCCTGGACTCTTGTAGTTTATAATAATCATTAAATTTGAATAAAAATATTATTCTTCCTCACGTGAAATGACAAGAAACTTTAGATTCATAATAATAGTTCAAGTTCAAAATGGCCAATTTAGATCCACAATCTCCTTAAATCGAGGAAGTTCAATAAATTATATTACAAGTCAGTTATTATCTCCTGCGTACAGGTTATGACAAATGTATCAACGAATAAGACTTTTTTTTTGTTATATCATCTGCATATAAATTTATAACGTATGAAAATTAACATAAAACGCTTTCTGACATTGCGTGTTATGGTATTTCTGGAAGAAATCTTCACCTTTGCTTTTATGACAAAAAAGTAAACATGTCTCTTGAATCTAAAGTGATAATTTTTAATGAACCGATATTGACAAATATAGTTGTGCAATGAAATTGTGGTTTCGCGAATTTTTCTGTTGCGCAAACTTCGAAGCGTTAGAGAAATTTTAAACATATCATTGGCGACGACAGTTTTAATAGTTTAAAAATTTGACACTATGAAAATTAGGATTTTCCACTATTTATGGAGATAATTTTGTATCACATTAGCAAAATTATACGTCGTGATTAGATGTATAACCTGGTGTGTCAAGATGTGTTTTATGAGTTTTAGTATGCGAACGATTTTGCTAAACACATGCGTATAATAATTGTTATATATAGTATTATTTGATAGATGAACAAAAAATGTAACTTTTTGAAATCCTAGAAGGATTAGTTCTTACATGCTATTGCAGTTCAATAATGGAGCTTTTATACGATTCAGATTCATAATAGTATAAAAAGTCTGTAGTATGGTTGGATTTTTATTTGTAAAAAGTTTTGTTGTCAATGATATGTCTAGTGTGTATCGGATTGTATAATACGGATCTCCCTCTACTGAACACAAACTAGATCTTTTTATAGTTTATATAAATCGTTATTAAAATTTTCCCTATAACTTGTTGATACAATCCATAAAGTATAACTTCAGTTAAAGTAAGAGGAGTGCATTATATTACGAGAATCTCTTTGCTTACTAGAAAAATGTTAAGGAATGCACGTTTAGTGATTTTCTGCTATTATTATACATATACCACTAAACCTTAGATATTTAGCATGTGGTTTCTATCTCTATTTTGTGAACTGTTCATCTGATTTTAGTTCCAGTTTCCATGTATGTCGGTTAAATTGTTTTATTTTATTACCTGCATTTAAGTGAACTCTTGATACAAAATTTTTCAATCTGTTAATTATCGCCACTACATACTTGAATAATGATTGTCATTCATGTTTGGAAACTTTATTTTTTGTCATACATGTTTAGAAACTTTATTAAACTATTAAAATTAAAATAAGTATCAAAAAGTGTTTTTTATTTCCTTTATACAATTAAATAGTTGAAACAAAAGATGTTCCGTTTCAATGTGGCAAGCGGTGTATCTAACATTGTTATCACACTTCTTTTGTTTTTTTTTTTCGAAAGCTTTGCTTCTATATTATTATACAGGGTTAGTCAGTAGAAACGCACCAGCAGAAATTGGCCGCAAGTGGCCGACACGGCAGTGTGGCCTCTTCAAAAAATGATATGTGACTGTGACCGATTCCCATAAGCGCAAACTGACAGTTCGCATAGTAATAAGGTTATTGAAATATTTCAATAATTAGGTTACTGAGATAATTAATTAATTTTGTAATGACAAAATGTAATATCAGTTAAGATTTATTTTCACAACAGATTGCAAATAAAATAATGTAAACTCTAAAATATTTAATATTCACAATTTTGATATTTCCAAGTAATGATTACAACTGCAATTCTGCAATATAATGCTGCAATTAATTTCAAAATCAATTAATTGAAATGTTTTTATAGTAAACAAGTGTGGGGAAAAAATCTATTCTAAAAATAAATCTTAACTGACATTACATTTTGCCATTAAAATGTTAATTAATTATTTCAGTAACCTAACTATTGAAATATTTCAAAAATCTTATTGCTATGCAAACTGTCAGTTTGCGCTTATGGGAATCGGTGACAGTCACATATCATTTTTTGAAGAGGCCACACTGCCGTGTCGGCCACGTGCGGCCAACGTTTGCTGGTGTGTTTCTACTGACTAAACCTGTATAACAAAGTTTTGTGCCATTGAAACAAATGTAAATCGAAATTTCATGACATAACAATTCCTTGGAAATATCTGTGTACACGTAAGTACAGTACAACCTCTGTTACACCGTGTATTTAGGTTAAAAACACGAAAACATGTAACTATAAAGATGCTTCGCTTTATGTATTAAGGAGGTCCTGTCGATGCATGCTAGTTGACTGATCAATTATCGAATCAGCTCCATAAATCGATTAAAACAAATCGAACTTTCTACTATATTATTCATATTAAATATAGAAATTTGTTTTTAGGTGTTCATCTTTGTGAAATTAGCTTATTTATTCAAATATATTTAAAAATCTAATTCTCATTTGACTTTTATTCATTTGTTTATTGGGTCTTTCCCGGTGAATCGATGGAGATCCAGCAATTTAATTTGCAATTACTCTTTGAAATACCCGGTAAGATCACTTTTTTATGGTATGTATCGAATCCTGAAGAATTCACGAATCCGTAGTATACCAGTTTTTGCTTCAAAGTTCACTTAAAATATGTTAGTTTCTTATCCAAAGTCGAAATTCAATCTTTGTGACCTATGAGTCCATATATACAGGGTGTTCGTTATGAAACGCACTGTAGTAACATCATTGCATTCCTTGTCAAATTCTAATGATTACGTATATTTTCATTTTTTATTTCATATATCAAAATTTCCAGATAATCAAGGTTGTAGTTGCAGTAATGCGACCAATCAGAGCGCGCTTAAACGGAGCGTAGATGACGTCGCAAGTCAGCCCGCAAGACCTGCTTACACTAGGCTAATAACACTAAGAGTATCGTCGTAGTGTCCCTGTTTATCTGCATGTAATTGAGTGAGATACAATCGCTCGCTGTAACGTCAGTGAATTTCAGAAGATACCCTTTATTCCTTATAATATCTATTCCTTTAATGTGACAAGATAGTTGTAGCAACGTATTACGTTTTGAGTGGTCCTGAAAAGGACCGATTTTGATCTATGCATGACCGAGCTTGAATCTGGATATGCTAATGTGAAACAATTACATACATTTTCTATGATAATGATTATCCTGAAACAGTAAATATTGTAGAGTACATAACATTTTTATCAGGATGTCGCCGATTAGGGTTGTTTACAAATTACAACTTATTTCACTTCACATTGCGGGCACAGTCAGTTCGCATTATGAGTAATTATTCTGTGAGAGAATATTGCGACATGTATTGGGTGTTAGCTCAATGTAATGGCAACCAAACACAAACAGCGCGAGAATATGCAATTAGGTATCCTAATCGGCGACATCCTGATAAAAATGTTATGTACTCTACAATATTTACTGTTTCAGAATAATCATTATCATAGAAAATGTATGTAATTATTGCAGATTAGCATATCCAGATCCAAGCTCGGTCATGCGTAGATCAAAATTGGTCCTTTTCAGGACCACTCAAAACGTAATACGTTGCTACAACTATCTTGTGACATTAAAGGAATAGACATTATAAGGAATAAAGGGTACCTTCTGAAATTCACTGACGTTACAGCGAGTGATTGTATCTCACTCAATTACATGCAGATAAACAGGGACACTACGACGATACTCTTAGTGTTATTAGCCTAGTGTAAGCAGGTCTTGCGGCCTGACTCGCGACGTCATCTACGCTCCGTTTAAACGCGCTCTGATTGGTCGCATTACTGCAACTTCAACCTTGATTATCTCGAAATTTTGATATATGAAATAAAAAATGAAAATATAAGTATTCATTAGAATTTGACAAGAAATGCAACGATGTTACTACAGTGCGTTTCATAACGAATACCCTGTATATAAAGTTTCGTTTTTAATATTACTTTTCTTAACATTTTCGTCGGTGACCGACCTTCAAATTTTGCAATTGAGTTCAGAGTTGTTAAATTTATAACTTGTAAAAGTTTCAGACGTGAAAATTCAAGTAGGTAGTCTCGGCAGGACCTCCTTAACTATTTTATTGGTTGTCAAGTTCAGAAGATAGCACCACATACGGATTTTGCAGGATACACACAATACGTGTGTCCTTGTTACCTATAGTTTCTGCACTTTTTGAAAAGTGTAGAAAGTGTAGGTAACAAGAACAAACCTAATGTCTAGTTAAAGTGTTACACTATACAGATTTTGAAATCACTCACGGGGACATGGTTGCTAATTGTTTACATTAAATTAAAATGACGCATCTAAAGGTATAAATAAATAAATGTGTTTCCAACGTATTGACCACCTTTGTTATTTTAAATGAATTTGCGATTTAAAATTAATATTTTCGAACAATTTTAATGATTCGCTTTATAAAGAACACTAGTTAGATACTTCATGTCCTAAATCTCAAAAATAAAGGCAGAGGTGACTGTAAGAGCCACAAAATCTAAGAATCTTTTTTTAGAAATTAATATTAAAGTTATTATTTAAATTACATGTAGCCCTATAAATTTTTATCTGGAATTTTGTTTTCCATTCTATTGTAATAATAAAGTTGGTCATCGTTCTGTAAAACGTAAAAGTTATTTATAATTTTCAATATACGGAAAGAAAAGGAATGACCTCATTTTAGATTTTCTTCGTGTACGATAGTTTTTGGAATCATAATCGTAACGTGAATAAATTTGTCGTATTCGACGCGCATACATATAATAGAGGTTGCATTCTAGGTCGGTAAAGATGGTGGCTTATTGACAGATTGAGTAACGTACTAAAGTTGATGTATTTTTGAATATATACTTCTATTTAAATTCAGGTAA